TTGAGGACTACATCTGCAACTCGCTTGTGAAGGAGCAGTGGGACGAGGAGCAGACACGCCGTATGGAGGAGATGTACAGGCGCGAGATACATGAGGTGTTGGGTCCCGAACAGCAGGCGTTCGGGGCCGAGGTCGACGCCAGCGGGTCTTCGCAACCACTCCCAGACCCACAGCTAAGGCCGAAGAGAGGTGACGAGCCCGCGGTGGATAAGCCCGTGAGGGAGGCGATCGGATGCCTGATGTGGACGAAGCTGACGAGGCCAGACATCGCCCTGCCTCTAAACAAGCTCCAGAAGATCGCTCACTCACCCACCGGGAAGATATGGAACGCGCTTGTGCGGATCATGTCCTNGGTGACGAGCCCGCGGTGGATAAGCCCGTGAGGGAGGCGATCGGATGCCTGATGTGGACGAAGCTGACGAGGCCAGACATCGCCCTGCCTCTAAACAAGCTCCAGAAGATCGCTCACTCACCCACCGGGAAGATATGGAACGCGCTTGTGCGGATCATGTCCTACCTGAACTTCACGAAGGACTTCGGCATCACCTACGTACGGGGGTCAGGACTAGACCTAAGCGTGTTTGTCGATGCCAGCTACGCTGACAACGAAGTAGACAGGCGTTCTACGACCGGGCCAGCTGTGACCGTAGGTGGTACCGTAGTGTGTGCATCCACCAAGACGTAGCCAGTGATGGCTCAGTCGACCTCGGAAGCAGAGTATATGGCAGCCGGGGAGGGCGTGAAGGAGGCGTTGTCTGTGCGTGGCGTTCTGTCGTTCATAGCGCCCGAGACGAGTGGGGCGAAGACCAAGGTCCTTGAGAACAACAAGGGGGCTCTCGCCTTAATCGAGAACCCGTTCAGCAAGCACAAGGACGTGCGGTTCCATTTGGTTCGCGAGCTATTCAAGTCGGGCAAGATCACTGCAGAGTATGTTCCAACTGGAGAGCAGCACGCCGACATGCTGACCAAGGTCCTTGGATGAGAGAAGTTAGAGTACCACCGGAAGGCTCTGATGAACCTACCGATGTAGTGTTCTCTTGTTCTGTTTGGTTTATGTTGTGGATTTAGCACTTGGCATATATGACCATGGTACGTCACGCAGGAAGCGTTGTGNCCGACATGCTGACCAAGGTCCTTGGATGAGAGAAGTTAGAGTACCACCGGAAGGCTCTGATGAACCTACCGATGTAGTGTTCTCTTGTTCTGTTTGGTTTATGTTGTGGATTTAGCACTTGGCATATATGACCATGGTACGTCACGCAGGAAGCGTTGTGCCGGCGCGTCACCCGTGGCTGGAGCCTAGAAACGCCGAGAGCATTGCTTTGGGTGTGTAACCAGCGTGACCGATTCAATCTGTCCTGCCTTGGTCTTGTCTTGGAAGTGCGGCCGTTGAAATCTTCCGTTACAGCGACGGTTTTCTATATTTAGGGTGTTAGATGAGGGTTTTTGATTCGGTTGGCCGAGTTTTCCCTCGAGCCTGTTTATGTTTTGAGTCCCTTTTGGTTGATCAGGGGTATCCATGCCCCACGTTAAGTTTGCCATTCGCGTGCAAATCGGGGAGGGTGTTCGTGTGTTTGGATACGGACTGGTTAGATCTACCGGCAACAACAGAGGGCACGCAGATGGGGCATATGTACACCTTGAAATGGTTGCATGTGCGGGGACCCCTCGAACTCTTAAGAGGACTTCACTTCTCCCTACTCCCCTTGCGTGTCTAATACAAGAGATAAAACGTCTTCCCCTTCCAAGTAAAGGACATATACGAACAAGGAATACTCCGCTGCCTGCGTAGCTCAAACAAAGCTCCACACAATATAGACTGATACCCTTTTCCCTGCAAAACCACAACATCCGAAACACTCACTCACGCTGCCTACGTAGCAATCCGAACCTTATCCATCCAAACGCCTCACCAGTGCTGCGTGCTGCACGAGTTAATCTGGCTAGCGCAGGCCAAGCCGGGCTCAAAGTTCGTCGAGGTCTACCGCCACTCGGGAGGCGGGAGGGGCCGCACCCCGGTGGCGTTGCAGGTATAATCACATTCATTCCCGACGGGATTGCCAATGGTAGTGCCATCGGCCATTGTCTCCAATGACGACACGTGCCTTCTATGATTGGCAGCGTGAAGTTTCATGGAGATCTTAATTCACACGTGTGGCGGGGATCAACTTCGACGGACAACCTATAGGTAGTGTAGCGGATTTGTCCCCAAAGGCACCCAGTGCGTGGAACAAGCATTGCATCGCTGTTGTTCGTTTAATTAAGCGCCCGCGAAAACACCAAGAGTCATTATTCTCGAGGTTGTGCTTGAGCTCTGAAAGGTTCACCGAAAGCCAGGGCGGATAACAACGCCAGAACGACAAACATGCGCCCCCCTCAACCATTTTTGGTGCTGCCAAACTTCGGTGTTTGGTGATGTCGGACATGGCACGTACGGGATGGAGGTCACATCAGGACGACATCGATAGCAACATCAACGCCAAAACAGCACCAACAACGGCATCGCAATCATCCATCATCATAACCGCAGGAGGGGGTCCAACCCCCCCCCTCCTATGTGACCCCGGTTGGGTCGTCTAGCTGGTAGAACTGGAGGATAGGGACCAGAGGGGCAGACGACAGAGTCCAAGGATGGGAGACAAAAATATCTAGAAGTATATATATCCGTCCCCTAGCACAATGTACAGCTCAATGGAGTATAGTGTAGCAACTGCAACAACATAACTTTGACTTTTACTCAGTACTCGTGCCCCTAGCAACGACATCAACACTACAAATGTCCGAATATCAAGGTTGTGGAAGAGGCGGAAGGCATGAAGAGGGCCAGCGTGGTTGATACTGCTACTGGGAAGCCCTGGATCCCACCGGATTCCGGCTGGCTCAGCGTCAAGTTTAAGGTTTCCAGAGAGCTACCCAGCGTCAAGGTAAACAAAGACCTGTACGAACAGTGCGCGTGGCCCACGATTGGTTAAAGTAGCTTTTGGCCCAGCCTGAATGCCAGGATTTTCACTATTTTTCACGAGTGCTCTGCGATTGTTTATGGAGAGTAAGACCTGGAAAACGATTTTATCGAGCGTGACCATGCGCCTAGACTAACCGAAAATGCTAAAGTTGGTTGAATTCTCAGTCCAACATTGAGGACTAGCAGAAGCAAGAGCTCCGATGCTGGCTCAACCAATGCTCCAAAATTCCGCCCTGACTGAACGAAAACCCGGTTGTGGGTTATCTGTCGACACCGAGGACTAGCAGAAAAAATGGATCCGTAAGAAGTCGGGTTCGCTCTCAAATATTGAGTCCCGAATGATCGATTGAAACATCAGATGTTGGTTAGACTCGTGTTCCGAAATCGCGCCCAGACAGACCGGAAATTTCAAAGGCTGATTGGATTCTCAACCCGACATTGAGAACTATTCAAGCTGAAACAAGAATACCACCCCACCGCTGGTTGATATTTCGCGCTTCACCAATGCGTCCCGAAAACTGAAACTTGAAATACCCAAAAGGCAGTACACATCCAACCGTAGAATTGTGTCCACATATATATCTGAACTTTTTCATTGCGTTCCAAACGATTAAAACACTCGAAGGACGTGCTTAACCCTGAGGCTGCGTGGACGGCGATGATGCTCATCATGGGCCAAGAGTCTGACTCGGACCGCATGAACATCCTGAGGCTGGTG